TTTTTAACATCACAAATGGCAAAACACACAAATAAACATGAATATCTTTTAATAAGTTGTGAAATTATGTATTTACGCTTCGGAGCCTAAGATAGAAATGCCACGTTTTTTCTTGAAGCAGTTCTTAATATATGTTCAAAATTTACGAGAAATTTAAAAAGCGATGGGATCTTGTCATTTTTTTTAAATTTTTACACGCTATTTAGGAACCACGTGTTTGTTTTGTTCAGAGCCGTATTGTCAAATCGTTTGTTTATGACCCCGTCGTTATGCAACTGCAAAAAGAACCCCTCAGCGAATCTTCTTTTAATTACGTTCTCTTCAAATTGTAAAATTTTTGGGTTGAAAAAATCCATGTTATGATTAGATTATTCATATGCTCGGTTAATATAGTTTTGAATTGTTTGGTATTTTTAGAGTTACTTTTATGTTGATGATGCGTTTACTCAGATTTCTACGATATAAAAGAGTTGGCAATTAGAGCAATTAATCTGATATACTAAGTTCCTGGGGCGGTCAGAATTAAACTTAGATTTAATTTGTATGAAAATAGAAGTAAGGGCTATATTGCAGTTGCACACCAACAAAGGCTTTTTCCACGAAATATTGAAACAGCTTTTTGCACGAAAAATACAAATCTTTTACATACGGTAAATAAATGATACCAGTATATGACTCGAGGTCCAAACGGTTTTTATGGTCGGTGAGATCGTCTTGTTTATTGAAAAGGTAGTTGCGCCTGCTATTTATTACTGAGTTAATTATATTTGTAGGGTAAGAGTTATTTATTATATAGTATGCTTATTATCAGGTCAATGTTGGTGTCCCAGAATTTTATATTAGATAGTAGGATGGGGTGGTCTGTTAAATTTATTATTGTTGCTATTTTCATTGTAAGGTGGTGGTATGAGTGGTAATTAGTCGGTGGTCATTTGTTCGTATTAGTCTGATATCTAGGAAGCTAATATAATTCATTATCTCTGACTCCTATAAATTAATAAATTTCTAAAACGCCTCATACTATTTTTATTGATGTAACGCCCGACTTTTAAAATCATATAATATATATATGTATATATATATATATATATATATATATAACTATTTCATCATATATATATATATATATATATATATATATATATTCGCTCATTTGAAAAATAAATATACAATATTAAAATGCCAGTAGGTCATTGTGATAATTCAAAATCGCACAAACAATGGCAAAATCATCTTGATACTTTTAGCAAAAAAACCATCGAATAAAATGCATTTTAAATCAACTTTTGTATTTATATTCTTTAACGTATAATTTACAGTTGCATTCGCACTTGAAGTTGCGAGAAATTTTAGGTCCATGTTCATTAATAGCAGTAAAAATTAATACTGTGTGAAAATTTACAAAGTTATTTATTAACTTTTTCTAATGCCCTAGGGTAAGTCCTAGTAATAGCAAAAAATCAATAATAAATATTCTAATAGATCTTGTATGTTTGTGAACATTTTTGTATATCTTAGAAGAAATTGATGTATGAGTGCGTATGTGACGATTTCGAAAGGCCGGATTTGATTCAATATCGATTCGTATTGATGGGGAGACGCGATGCCGTGCTTTTGGCAGATACAGATTCAGTCATTTTGGAGGTACGCAGAAAAAAGGGTCCAAAAAGTGGTCCTACAAAATTTAAGAGAACTGATCGTTTGATTTGAAAATGAATGATGAAAAAAAATTGTTCGTTTTTGAGAAAGGCAGGTCTACCGTTTGTTAACAAGTAGTTTTTTTCCCAAAATTTAAACGCAGTCGATATATTGAGTTTTTCCAATTTTCGAGTCGAGAAAGTACAAAAAATATAAACTTCTCCTACCGGAAGTTAATAGTTAATATATAATTGCTCCTATCTAAATATTTATATAAAAGTATAATAACTAATTGTATTTGTCAAAGAGCAATTTTTGCTTTAGGTACATCTATTAAAACTGTTTGTAATTATCGACAAAGTTTTAATTAATGCAGGAAGGTATTTGTCACTGAAATAAATTAATTTATTTGAACGTGAATCGAAATGAATTTTAAATGGAATGGTTTTGTTGATATGATTAAAGTGGGATCAAAGAGGTGGTTTTTCAGCATATTACGTATACATACATACATACATACACATATATATATATATATATATATATATAGGAATTAAATAAACAAGATGTATCTCATCCGGGGCAAGTTTAATTTCTTCTTTCTTGAGAATGATTTATGATTTAAAAAAAAAAATCAAACAGTTCAACTAGTTGGTATTGGTGTTTTGCCTTGAGGCAAGTTACATGAACTTCCCGATATGTGTAATTAATCGACCTAATCAATAAAAAATAAATTAATTTATGAGTGACACATAATTGAAAGCGAACAAACACGTTAACTCGGAGTATTTTCTGAAAGCAAATTTTCAAAAACCAATAATTTTTATAATTGAACCAGTTTTCGTAGGACTTTAATGGCTTAGTTTGTTCATTAAGACCAAGTACTCTATCGTTATACCAAGTAAATCGTCTAATTTTAATTTTAACAAACGTCAAAAATACTACTCAATTTCTCAAACCTTGATGAATTTTAAAAATTAAACTACTTGTCGTAAGGCCGTAATATTTCAGTAAGTTCTATCAGACCATGATATATATCGCCAAAAAAGGTTCACAAAAAACGGCTCAATTTTTTTTTCAACAGTTAATTACAAGAAAAAGGCTCTGTAGATTTTCATCTAAAACTAATCGGTATCATTCCCAACTAATATCTTTCGAACAGGTTTTGATTTTTGAAAATCGATTCGGCAGTATCAGCTTAAATGTGCACTAGAAGTGTAACACTTTTTTTTTAATTACAAAGAAACGGTTCGGCAGATCGTCTCACAAAACTGACAAACGATAGTCTTCATTGAGATACATCAAATGGCTTTTAAATTTCTGAAATCGGTTTAGGCGTTTTTGAGAAAAGGTCGATGAAAGGTTTAATTTTGGCAAATGCCAAAAAATGATACTAATTTTTGCAAATTTTGACAAATTTTCAAAGCTCAACAAGTTGTCGTTGGGACGTAATATTTTAGTATGATCTAGAAGACTAGGGTATCTAGCATCAAAAAAAAAATAAAAATTGTCGATTTTTTTTTCAGCACTTTATCACAAGAAAACGGCCCAGCCGATCTCTACCAACAACACTCATCAGCACAATTCCCAATCAATATCTTTCGAACGGTTTTTAAATTTTCAAAATCGATTCAGAACTGCGGGCTAAAACGTCGACGAAAAAATTTTCACTTTTCTGCTATTTACAAAGAAACGGCTTGGCTGATCGTCGCGCAAAATTGATAAACGCTAGTCCTCATCGAGATACATCGAATGGCTTTTAAATTTTTGAAATCGGTTCAGCCATTTTTGAGAAAACATTGATTTACGTCAAAAAATCTGTTCACACACACACACACATACACACATACATACTTTTTCCAAATTTGGTCTCATTCGATTCAGAATGGCTTGAAACGTCGAGACAACATAAAATTAGCGAATCGGATTTTGTGATGAAAACATAAACTTCTTCGGGAAGTTAAGAATCAAATAATTTGAACTAATTGAAAAAGCAACAGATATATTATAATATATTCAATATTTATATCCAAATTAGGTAAAATGCTACAACCATAGATAAGAAAACTTACAACAATTTAAGGGATAACACCATTGTAACATACTATACTAGTTGTGCATGGCATTTTTGAAATATAAAATTATTTTTTCATATTTCAAAAATTTTGAAGTTTTTTTCAAAGCAATCGGGCCGGGAAAATATATCGAAACGCGTACGCGCCGCGTTCTCAGGCGCAAAAATCAACCGATTTAAATGATTCAAAAAACATTCGATTCCTATTGATATGAAGTGCTGATTAATTTTTAGTGAAGACAGGTTTAGCCGTTTCGGAGATATAGGGCAAAAAGTGCCAAAAACGGTAATTCTTTTATGAGAGAACGGGGTACTTGATTTGAATGATTCAAAAAACATTTTACTTGTAATGACGAAATGAATAATTGGTGAAATTTTTGGTAACGCTGGTCTATCGGTTTCGGAGATACAGAGGAAAAAGTAAAAAAAAAGATATTTGGTGGTCAAAAATGAACATAAACTTATGCACATCAAATCATCAGATATTTGATGGAATTTTTAAAAAAGAGTACACTATTTTTTTTGTTACAATTCTGTTGGGTTCCGTACAAAATGTTTTAATTTTTAAAGTTTACTTATACGGTTCAAGCTCAAGCAAATTTCAAAATTTTCAAAAAAAAGTCAATTTTTTTAAAAATATACAAAGTTTTATACTTCAAATATGAATTTTAAATTTACAATTCAGTTTCAAAATGTATATATTTCAAATGCGTTATTCTAATCGTAAAACATATATCCTCAGATGGATTCATTCATTCACCTCTTGCTAATTTAAACTTTCTCAAGCGTTTTGAGCAATAAGATCATCACTATATATTTTATGAACGATAAAATATATTGTGATTATAATTATCTATTTGAAAATGTATAAAACAATTGTTTTAAATCATTGATCAATTTTTATTGATTACTGATTTTTTTTCCTCGAATATATAATTCTGGTATGGAAAGTTCCAGCAATTTTCCTTAAGACACGATGCCAAAAACTGCTAGTTAAATTATTCAAATCCGTTGATCAATGTTCCCGAAATCGTCGACGAAAATTTGTATCCGCACACACACATGCGAACATCCATTTTTGCTAAGGTATGCCAAAATGTTCAGAAACTTTTGAAACGTAAAGATATATATAAAATTTCATTTTATATTTTTTAGGGGAAGTTAAAAGTCATTTCTTGAATAAATTCTTTAATATTTTGCTCCATCTATTCTATTTTGTCACCATCTACTCCATTTTTCTAGTCAAGTTCCACACCAAATAAATTTGACATTTGCCAAGCCCAAGTCAGGCAAATCAAGTGTTAAAATATAAACAAATATATTCAATTTATTTAAATATGGCAAATGATAGGGAAGTGCTAAGTCAAATATGGAATGGACAAATACCAATTTGTTTCAAATTAGATCCTAAAGAAACTGTGGCTTTGCAGACTCCAGACAGTTTCTATTTGATGGTTTCTAGGTTATCTTATTTTCCTTTGGTTACCGATAAGGTTTGTTGAGAAAAGTAATAGATAATGTATTTAATTACTATTAAATTTTATTGCTTGTTAAATGTTCAATCAATTTAGTAATAAAGACGATATTGTTCTGTCCATGATAGTTTTTCATTTATTATTAGGCCTAGGTATTTTATGCTATCCACTTCTTCTAATTTAGTATTCTCCCTAGCTTTTTTTTTTGCTTTATCGATAATAGTTGTATATTATTCTCATCCCTCGTTAATAGTTACTTTCAGTCTTTTGGTCGTTGTCTTCATATACATAGGCAGTTTTGTCTGCGTATAGTGTGTATCTTCCCCTTTAGCCTCTTTAACTTTATTTGTGTATATTAGATATATTGAAAATTCTAATACCGAAACTTTTGGGTTTCCACAGTTTATGCTTATTTTCTAAATTTTGTCCTTACTACCCTTTCTGGCAGGAAATCTTTGATAATGCTCACATACCCTTCACGACTAACTCTATTAGCTTATTAAGTAATATGTTGTGGTAACTTACTGGTACTTATTGTAAGTCAATAAATATAGCAAATGTATGCATATTTTCCTCGAGGATGGAAATATTCAAATCTGTTAGGTCTTAATCTAAATCGAGTTTTTAGATTAATTGTTGAATTGAAATTGATACAAAATGGACATTGTGTTTTTTTTCTCATTTCAATTCAAGTACTCACTTCCATAATTCTGTTCGGTTACTCTCATAAGGCGGTGTTTGGTTTTAAAATCTTTAAAAATTTTGAAATCGAGTTCAAATAAATCCCTTCAATACTAGGGGTCTAATTTTTCTTTTTACTTTATTTTATTAACTTCTTGTAAGGCAAGTTATAGTAATCGCAAAAAAAACGTAAATGAAAATTTTTATACATCTTTACGTTTTTTGAACATTTTGGCATACCTTAGAAAAAATGGATGCATGTGTCTGTGTGTGTGTGTATGCATGTGTGTTTGTGTGTGTGTTTGTGTGTGTGTGCGGATACAAATTTTTGTCCACGATTTCGTGAACACGGTTCAACCGATTTCAATTATTCAAAAAACATTTGATTGCTGTTGTTAAAGAGACGTGATGATTAGTTTTTGGCAAAGGCAGGTCTAGCAGTTTCGAAGATACAAACGGTAACTCAGTTGTTGAGATTTGAGACAAAAAACATTTTACTTGTATTGACAAGGTGAAGAACTGATTAAATTTTCGGGAAGGCAGGTCTAGCGGTTTCGGAGATATAGTAAAAAAAGTAAAAAAAAATGCCATTTGGCAGTCATAAATGATCAATAAACATAGGCACATCAAATTTGAGAGATCTTTGATGTTTTATGCAGATTTTTATAATACGTATAAATTTCATTTACATTTACATGGGTTTCTTAGCATCGTTTGTCCGCGGCGCTTACGCGCTTCTATATTTTGTCTCTATGCAGTTAAAGCTGCATAGAGACAGTTAGTTTCCAAAATATTTCGAAATGGAAAAAACATTTTTTTTCAAAAGGTCTTTTTCAAAAAAATGTAAATTTTTGTCAAAAATTTAAAGTTTCTCAAAAATCTCATTTTTTTCAAAGTAACATTTTTTCAAAAACGTTAATCTTTTTTAAAAAAAATAATTTTTGATATGGAAAGTTCCAGCAATTTGCCTCAAGGCACAATGCCATGCACCACTAGTTAAGATCAAGTTTTACCGAATTAAGTATATAACTTATATCTTATAATAAGTCAGCAATCTTTCTAAATTTTGTGAAATTAGTGGACTATCTATAGTTCAGACTTTTAGAACATGGCTAATAAAATATTCAGACTATAAATTAAAATTATAATACTGTTAAGTGACAATGTTGTATATAAATGCAGACGTTTCAGTAGTTTAAGATTCTATTCCGTAACACCGTGACATATAATTGTATATGTTTAGAGTAAAATTCTCCTTTTTAAATAAAATCAAAGCTTAAATTATTGTAATTTCTGTTACAGATCAGAAAACATTTAATAAAATACATACCAAATGATAAACAAGATGAAGAATTGTGGCTCGAGAGCAATGGAGCACCTGTACGATGGCACTTTCCTATAGGTACAACATTAAAAAGTTAATATATGCATTAAATAATCTTTTATTTAAATTCTAATATTATTTTAGGTTTGTTATTTGATTTACATTGTGCAACAGCTGATAGAAGTGAAGGTTCTGTGATACCATGGCATCTAACCGTACATTTTGGAAATTTTCCAGAAAAAGTTGTATTCAGATGTCCCAATAAGTAAGACGTTGAAATTAAACTTGGAATGTTAGTATTATTGATTAGTAAATATTTTTATTAGGGAAATAGTAGAAGCTCATTTTATGTCAAGTTTAAAAGAGGCAGATGTGCTGAAGCATAGAGGAGCTATAGTATCGAATATGCTTAAGAAAGATCACACTCAACTGTGGTTAGGATTATTAAATAGTAAGTTATTTTGTAATAATAAAAATAATAATAATAATATATATTATATATATATATATATATATATTACAATTGTAAAATACCATTGATTTTTAATATGTTATTTTTGTCTGCAGATAAATTTGATCAATTTTGGGCAGTAAATCGAAGATTAATGGAGACTGTACCAGATCAAGAAGGTTTCAAACACATTCCACTCAGATGTTATTCAGAGGTTTATATAAATAATAATATTAGTAATAATAACATAAGGAGGTATCATTGAATACAAATTTAAAAACATAAACTTCTCCCTTGGGAAGTTAAAAAAAGATAAAATCTCCAATCTAGTGATTCTTCTCTAAAATCTTATAATTTCTGTCATTTCTTGGCCCTCCTTACCCTAAGTAACTATTGAGTTTAAATTTTATGATCTATTTTTTGTTGTTTCTATAATTCAGCAGTATTTGGAAATATATTTACTCCCCATTATCACCGGATAATCTGCAAACATACTTGCAATTTGAATATATGTTTAAAAATTACTGCTTTAATCTACATAAAAACTTAATAGATCATTTAAATGAATACTCAATAGTCCTTTAAGGTAAAAAGACCAAAGAAACGAGAGAAGATATATGATAAAATATAAGATTTTAATTATCAAATCGATTTCTTATAAAAATTCCAAAAAAATTCGAACATTAAAATTTTTTTTCAAAATTTTGGAAAAATTTCAAAATTATAAAAAAAAATCTAATTTAAAAAAAAAAATAAACAAATTTCTTGTAAATATACACATAAAGTTGTTTGTAGAATTCGCTCGTCGCCTCATTTAATAAGCACTTATAAATTTACAGCATGTATTTGTAATAAATAATCTATTTGAAATTATTTAAAATAATTATTGATTGTTTTCATTACTCAAATGTTTAATTACGGTACGGGAAGTTCAAGCAATTTGCCATAAGGCCCGATGCCATGCACCACTAGTTTAAAATCGGTTCAACCGTTTTTGAGAAAACGTTAACGAAAAATCGGCTCACATACATGAAAACATACACATATTTTTTCAAATTTGGTCTCAATTGATTCAGAATGACTTGAAACGTTGAGAAAAAATAAAATTGGCAAATCGGATTTTTTCGAGAAAACAAACAACTCCTTCAGAAAGTTGAAAATTGACTCCTAGACTAGAATGCTCCCTAAATAAAATTTGTTAAATAAATGATCTTATTTTTAGGATGGCTCATATCTGCAAAGGCTCATAACACCTTTTACAAGTGATGGTGTTAAGAAAACAGTGCAAGATTTTTTAAACGAAATAAGTTTAGCCTATGGAAAAACGGCAGGTAATATTTTATTTATAAATTAATATTTTTTTATTTGTTAGAATTATTTTCAATTGGTTGATGGGTCTTTTTCTAGTTGGTTGTCGAACTCATGGAGTGATGGTACCAAATGGAACTCCCTTACAATGGCTTTCAGAACATATGAGCTACCCTGATAACTTTCTGCATTTATGCATGATTTTTGAAGAATAATAATAATAGATAAGGTGAAACATTTTAAATTGTATCATATTAATATATTGCGTACTATAATTTTAAAATAATTAAATAATAATAAATGAATCTTATTCCCGAATTTTTTATATTTTTAATCAATATAGCACTTTTTCAGAAACAAATAAGTGGAAAAAAATATTTCTTACCCCTAATTACATTTATTGACATTTGCTAATTATGAACTTGATAGTTAGTTTGATTGATCACTTTACTAGAGGGTGTCTGAATTTTGGCATCTTCATATTTTCCATAAAACCTGAACGATTGAATAGAAGTATTTGGAAAATAGTAACTCGACACCCTCTATATATTATATTTAACAAACACTTTGTTAAATTATCATAGATTTTGCTTATTTATTTAATTAAATAATACTGATTATTCTTATTCCCTTGTCATTTTCAATCACTAAGTTTTTTATCGAATGATATTTTTAGGTAGTTAAGTTACACAATTTTTTTGAATACTTTACAAGTATTTGAACTCTTTAAAATTGATTGATAAACAAAGGTTCTCAAACTATTAGAGTTCTCATACAGATTGAGGACTACGTTTCTAGATTTACAAATCTTATCAATAGATCGTGATAGTCATCGTGGCATCACTTTTGGAATTAGATATTAAAATTAACAAAAAATATTTAATATTTTTATATTATATTTTGTCGGTTTATTTACCGAAATTTTTGCCACTTTTCGATCTATTAATATGACGTCTTTTATAAATAATTTTTCTATATTAAATATCAATTAATTAACTATTATTATAATTTTTATGTATAATAATTATTTTTTATATTAATTTTTATAATTACATTTAGATTGTCACAGTGTGCTATATGGGTATAGGGCGAGTCGTGTATAAGATATATACATATATGTATATATATATAATATATATATATATATATATATATATATATATATATATATATATATATATATATATATATATATATGTCTATACACGAATTAGGTTAATTCCAACAAAGTTAGAATAAGCCAACTTTATTGGAATAGCATATTATTCTAAAACATTAGTCAAAGATATGTAAAGTGTTCTTTTTCATTTAAATATTTTCAAAAAACGATTGTAACAACTTTTTGTGATATATATAATAGGAAACTACACTAATAATACAATTGATAATCATTTGCCATAAGATAATAATGTACAGTAAAGAATTAGTTTTTGAATAAATAATGGTGGAAGTAATTTCTTTAGGGTTAACCTAATTATTGCAAATTATTTTGTGGAACAATTATTCGGAATTTAATACTTTTAAACCAAAGACTGCGAATTAATTTTTATTTTAAATTTGGACTACTTCAGCAAATATAAAAATCTACTGAAGTAAAATATGTAAGTACTTAGTAGCAAACCCAATATATTAAATAAATGGTCAGAAAATTGGAAAAAGATAACTGCATAATTGTGGCTAAATTATTGACCAAAAAGCTAAAACGAAATAAATATCATTAATTCAATACTAAAATTTAACTCTTAACTGTAGATTAGTCCTTATGTTAGTACATTTACAGGGTGACCAAGACCTTGACTTCAAGCCAAATCGGGGTTACGGTTCCAAAAATGAACAAAATTAATAAAAATTAACCATAAATATCGAAAAATTGTCATAATGTCACTAAATCTCTAGATTGCATTTAAAAGTTCATAATTTCCAAACAACGTAAGATTTTTTTTCTCTAATTTTTTTCAGGGCAGTTAAGGTCAATACTTGTACTTCGTTATGGCTTGACGTTAATTTTTGGGACACCCTGTATATATAATATATATTTTCTTATTTTAAATGCATATATCTATCATAATTTTGAAATTGAGCCGTGCTAAGGCAATTTGTACCCCATTTTAAATTACTTTGCGAGATTTAAGATAGTTAAAAATATAATTGATTTTAATGTCTATAAGTAATTAGGCTTGAATAATTACAAACTAGAAAATACGTGAACAAACAATTTTATCACACATACAATTTGTTTTAAAATAGGTGATTGATAAAATATTTTACATGAGACGTTGGAAGTGATTGAATGGTATTCAAAAATTACGTTATACATATAACGGTCTACAGATTATGTTAATGTAGAGCGCAGACTCAATATAATAATGGAAACTTGTTCGATCAAACATACTTCATCTTTCTCCCTTAGAATCTCATCTCAAAATCAGTATAGTTCAGCTATTATAACAACTATCACCACCGTACCCTGGCACAACCGTACCCAGTATCCTATGTAAAATATAAAAAAAAATCCACAATGACGCGCTTTTTTATTTCTTCTCAAAATAATCTAGCTCTGGCACATATTGAATCTTTTAATAAATATATTTAATAAATAACGGGTAATTTCTTTAATATATAGAATCGTTATCGTTTATATCAAGGACATTTTTTTAAAAATAGAGTAATTTATAAAGGATGTAATTTAATGTGGAGTGTCACAATAATAGATAGTATTACCCAAGGGAAGATCCATGAGCTGAGTTAAACTCCAACTCGATTCAGGGAAGAACAATGTGAGAAATTCCCCATTGCCATTTCACATCGCAGTACTCGCAATAAACTGAACGTATTTTTGATCTATATTTTTAACTTCCCGTAGGACAAGTTATAGAAATCGCAAAATAATCAAAAATGAAATTTTTTGCATATCTTTACGTTTCAAAGGTTTCTGAGCATTTTAGCATACCTCAGAAAAAATGAATGTATATGTGTGTGTGTGCGGATACAAATTTTCGTCGACGGTTTCGGGAACACCGATCAACCGATTTGAATAATTCAAAAAACATTTTACTTGTATTGACAAAATAAAGAATTGATTAAATTTTTGGAGAGGCTGGTCCAGCGGTTATGGACTCTCAATAAAAATAAATTAAAAAAATGTCATTTTGCTGTCAGAAATGATTATGGACATATGTACATCAAATTTTCAGATATTTTATAGGGATTTTAATAATGTGTACACAATTTGTGTAATTTTTTTGGGTTTCGTACCAAGATTTTTAATTTTAAAGTTTATTTATACGGTTCAAACAAATGTTCTCTACATTTTCGACAGAATGGAAAAATAACCGATTTGTATGATTGAAAAATCATTCGGTTCGTACTCGATCGTGAGGCGTTTATGCAAAAGGCAATTTTGCCGTTTCGGAGGCATGGAGCGCAAAGGGTGTAAAAACGAATATGCAGTTTTGAAGAGAACGGATCATCCGATTAGATTAATTCAAAAAACATTGTGCTTGAGTAGACGATGTGCAAAAAATGCATTTACAGAAAATTTATTAATTTTGAAAATTAAAAAAAAAATCAGTTTCAAAAAATTTAAATTTGAGAAATTAAAAAAAATCGATTTTTTACAAAAAATTTGAGAATATTTCTAAATTTTGAAAAAATCGAATATTTTTAAATATTTTCAAATTCTCAAAAAATTTAAAAAATACTCTTTTTTAAATAAAATTCCAAAAAATTTTAAACTTTTAGAAAAATTTCAAAATTTCGAGAAAAATTGTAAATTATCAAAAAATATAAAAAGAAATGAGCAAATTTCTTAAAAACATACACAAAGTCGTTATAGTAGAATACGCTCGACGCCTAATTTAAAAAGCATTTATTAGTTTACAGTATGTATTTATAATAATCTATTTAAAATTGTTCAAAACAATTATTGATTATTTTCATTTCTCGAATTTTTAATTACGCTACGGGAAGTTCTAGCAATTTGCCTTAAGGCACGATGCCATGCGCCCCATAGTCAAATGATAATTTATAACACTATATCTGTGGGATATCTGTTACGCCATGAAACACCATTGAATGGTATTGAGAAACGTATTTAATTCTTGATGATCAATATGTAAGAAAACATATATTTTAAGTATTGGACAATAGAAATATAGCAATAAAAATATGTTCAGCATGGATTCATAAAGCAGTGTTTAACAGAAACTAATATATGGCAATGAAAGTACCATTATCCCATGTAAAACATTTGCACCAATCACATATCTTAAACACCACATTTTTCCACATCCCGATATGCAAATACATAATTAATTTTATGTTATAATAATAACGATCACAAAACATTATTTTTAATATTAATTCTAATATTAATTATATTTATAATAGTCATATGATATTTTCAAGAGGGCCCCTAATAGCGAGCGTTCGTCATAAGGTACGCTTTTGTGTACACTGCGTATAAAAATAGTGTTTTTTTAGTTTGGCTATATTTTATATGTGTAAAGTTTTTGACAGTGTACAAAAGAACACTAGAAAAGTGGATTTAAAGAACAATTTTATTATAATAGTTATAGTTTATGTTAAGAGAAAACCTGAAGCACATGATGAGCATAGTCAACTTGTGATGACCACCCTGTATATTGGGCCCAAAACTTACGTCAAGCCGAAATAGTGTGATAATATTGACTTTAACTGTCCTGGAACAATTCAGAAAAAAAATATATCACCTTGTTTGGTAATTATGAGCTCATGATTTCCAAACAACGTGATATAATTTTGTTTCTAAATTTTTTCAGGACAGTTATGGTCAATATCGGCTTGACGTTAAATTCTAGGACCCCTTGTATGATAAAATGTTTTTCTATCATTCCAGTTATTATTTGATTCCTCAATTTTAATTTTCAATTAAGTTCTAATTTGTTAATAGTCCTGTTTTCGACAGTCAACTTACCAAGATCCTGTTTTCAAATCTTGGATAAATTTAATATTGATGCAGTTTACAAAGCAAAAATATCAAGAGTGGTAATGGATATAATTAGGACCGGCCAAATTATATGGATATGGAAAAAGATACAGGAACACATTGCGATTCTGGTTATATGGATCATTTCAAGAGACTTTACCGAAGAAACCATAACTCGTGTAACTTTCACTATTACATACAGTACATTTCCTTCATTGTAATGTGTATTTGGCGTTTTTTTAGAGTTGATAAATTCATTTTAGATATATATTTTGAAAAACTATTACAACGAAAAAACTCATCGTTTATTGTTTAGATTTTTTCGCCTTTTTTGTAAAAATCGATAATTTTTTTGAAAAAGTTCTTTTTTTCCAGCCTTCTCTATATCTATAATAGGTTTATCAACTCCGCATACACATTTAATTAGCGTTTTTTTTTTCTAATACAACACATAAGTTGATCCAATTAATTTTTTATTAATTGATATATTTTTCCGAAAAACGCAGACAAATCGAAAAAAATCGTCGAAAACGCGTTTTGGTGGTAATATTAGACAGAAATGGGTTTCTCGACACCAGAGTCTCCCCATAGTAGTTATATTTTTTTTGTTCTTACAAAAAAAAATATTGAAAGACTAGCTTGTTCAAAATTCACTTTCAAGCTGTGGTTTCTTCTTCAAAGTTTCTTAAAATGACTTATAGAACCAGAACGCGCTTTTCGTGGACAAAAATTAGACAATATTTCATCCTGTGCCTCAGGTTGTTTCAAAATAAACTCGGTTACACATTAAATTCAAAATTTTGAGCTTTGAACAATATGTTTCAAATTTCTCCTTTTTACAAAAGAGTTATAACAACAATAATTATATTACAATATTTAAAAGTGAGACATCCACATATGAGCATCATACATAATCTCATCTTAAACATATATTTCCGCAACATTTGATAATCATCGCCTTTATTATAACATTATCCTTATAAATAATTATGAATTGATAAAGTCCTTAAATATATTGCAATTATTAATTATCAATATCCTTTCAACAATTATTGTAGAAGCTCGTGAACAATTGAAAACATGCAAAATTTCAACATTTTTAGAGAATAATTCTCATGATTTAAACTAAGCATGCTCTATTGCTTAAATCGTAGTTGTAGATATAAAGTTATGATGAAAATTTTTAAGTAACTTTAAGTCCTACATATCCTTAAAGCAATCTGATTCAAAAGTTTATCTACTGGTGATAAAACTTTGATTATATCACACCTTTGTAGCGTCAATAAATATAGTTACTATACAATTGTATTTTATCATTTGATTCATATACTTGTTAAAGATTATATTCATTTCATTTATATTAGTCTGTCAAAAAGATATGAAGAAAGTACAAATATTTTTGCACCTTTTGCTACATAAACAATATGTTTACGTTTTATTATATAGGATCATCAAATATTAATTTTTGACCAGTCTGGCAGTAATGCCAAAAAAATCCATTTGCTATCAGCGATCGTATTTGTATGTATCATTTTTTTGCCATTTAAATACGATTAGACACGATTTTATGATCAATTTGACGTGGAATTCTAAAACAATCTACAAATTATACTTAGACCCAATATATTAAATTAAATATAATATTGAAAAATATTACAACTAAATATAATATCTTTTCAAATATATATATATATATATATATATATATATATATATTTAATAACCCATAACTTTAATCGTAAGTAGCATCATCCTTACTTTTGCTACTGCAAACTTGTAGATGGTTATCGAAAAAAATTACGTCAAAAATTAAATTTGGCTAAATATTATTTCTTAAATATTTTCTTCTTTAAATTTCTAAAATATCGATCATTGCCTTTTTGTCAGAAATTTTGACAAAAATTACACCAAATTGATAACATTTTTCCTGTTCAGCTGTATCAATTTATTGGTATTGTAGTTAGTACAATTCATTGACCAATTTGCATGCTGTTAGTATGATCAAAGCCAATGTTAATTTCCTACACCATAAGTATTCCAAGAAATCTTACAATTGTCTCCCTAATTAGTGGTTCCCAACCTTGAAGTTCTAGGTTCGATTTGCAGACTCAATCTGTACAATTCGTCATCATCTAAAAGCAATGAGGCATCCAGTAAATAGTTGGTCACTTTTGGAATGTTTTCGATTTTGTATGGTGTTTGCTGAAAGTGGCGAATTTCTCTGATCACATGGGCAATCTGGAAATAGAATTGAGGAAAAATATAAATAAATGATATTTGATGTTACAATTGAACATTGCTGAATTCTAAATTGTAGTTGCATCAAGATTGTTGACCATAGATTTCTCAAAGTATCATATGAGATAGAAAAGAATTTCTAACTAACAATAAAATAAATACTCTGATTGGTAATTGGAAGCCAAAAAACATTAAACCGGTGATTGAACACAGAAATACCTATAAATAAAATGATTTCAATCATAATCCTAAATTTAAAATATCGTCACTATTAAAATCATCAGTAAAACTTTGATATCCATTCAATATTTTACCATTCTCATTTTCGAAAAATTCAGTAACCCATCAGGCGTGAAATCTGGAGTGCCTTCTTCAATAAAACTCAGATCAGTTAAATATAATCCCAAATAAGGTATGCATGGTGGATCACATCTGTGCAAGGCATCTCGCAAAACCCGAAATCTTCCATCAGATGAGACAACTCTTTGCAACTTGGCTATTGTTTGTCGAGTCTGAAAATAAAATATTTAACACAGATAATTAAAATGAATTATGTCACGCAATTGAAGAAAAATTATTTGCTATTGTACAAGATGACATTTAAGATAAAAATAAATACATCATATAACAATTTTGACTAATGTTTATTAGTAATATGGTAACAATCGTGATGCACTCATTCATTAGTGTCAATTGTCATTATACACATTTATATAATAATAAATTATAAATTATATATTTATAATAGCATTAAAAATATTTATAAGATTCAAAAACAATAATGTAATTAAAGTCATACTTCAAATATGACATGATCGGTTTGTCATTGTAATTAGCATTTAGAAATGAACCATTGGAAAAATGAAGTAATTGCTGATTAATAAATTCTTTAATATTTGTTCACACAGTGGATTATATTAAACAACGCCTAAACAAATATTGTTTTTGCAACTTCACTCATCGTGTAATTGTGTTTGAAGAACTTTATGTAATTGAAATTAACATACATTCATTGACTGCTTGTATTTTTTTACTTTTTTGCTGGCGATTTAATCTCATTATTTGAGGAGCTGTAACATCTATCTTGCCTATAAAAATATTTTCCATTTTAATAACTTCAAAGATTTGTAGAAACTACGAATAATATAGAAATAATTTCTGATCAATAAACTTTATGTTTTACTGATTCAGGCATTTTTCATTAAATCAAGATTTATACTACAATGCAACATTAAAATGTTTACTTATTTATGGCGATTTTCTTGTTGATATAGGCATGCAACGTTGATGTTGGTACGCATACAACGTTGATCTCGGTACACATACAACGACAGATTTCTATTCACATACATGACGTCTAATCACAATCGACCCGTATAGAAATGATTTAATCGAGAGCGAATGACGAATCCGTAGAGAAATAATTTCATCGAGAGTAAATGGCACTCGGCCGTTGCATTTGTACGGATTTACACCCTAGTCGCGCGTAAAATGTTTTACTTCAATAATTAAAATTATTACCGTTTTGGAGACTTTTTCCCATGTTTTCTTGAGCCTAAATACAGAACTATTTGTAAAGGCAGCACATACTTGGAGGACTCCGTTGAAGTTGTGCAAACATCTGTAATAAATAATTACAAATATTACAAATAGTTAATAGTAAGTTGTCTTTTACTCTTCTTCTTATCTAATATCTATAGACAAATTTTGTAGAAATATTTTTAAAATTGTATATGACTCGGAACAACATAATGTAAAATACTTCACTAGTATATGGAACCAAAACTGTAAAGAAATTTATTCTAAAAAGTTTCTATTTATATGAATGGTCTTAACTATTTAGAGCCATTTACGGATTCTACTCAAATTATTTCATATTAACAGTGATGTTTATTCAAATAAATTCAAAAATAATCTTACCTTGATATATCAGCAACTGCAGCCCATTTTTCGATTGCTTGAGTTCGTGCTTGCAAGCCAGGTCTTCGAACAATTTCGCTGACAACTAATCTCGAAACATCATTGAATCTTCTGGTCATCAGTAAAATATGTGGAGCCCTTACAGCTTTGTCTGATTTCATCCAGGCTTGTCCCAAAAATTCCCTAAAGGGAAATAACATAGAATATACATACTCAAGGTAGAGTATATTGGGTGTTCTGGCGTATATTTTTTCTAAGAATTTGGATGTGTAGAATATTAGTTCCAGAACTAAATAAATGACTACTTACTCGCTTCTAATTGACATGAAGATCTGATGGTCCAGGTACGTCATTTGCTCTGCTATTTCTAGAGCAGACAATGTTTCAATGCTCTCTTTACTAGGACTCTGAAAATATAATTTATTCAGATTTGTTTCTTCTACATTTAGCAACTCTAATGAATTTCTTAAAATTCGGTCATTTTTTAATTTGGTCAAATAAGAGTCAGCAATTTACTGTCACAAGAACATAAAAAATAAATCCTTCAGATAAAATTTGGAACATACTTAATTGATTTCCATAGATT